CTTTGGAGAAGATAGATGGTAGCTGGAAAGACAATGTGGCAGGTCCACATACTAGCGAAGACCAAAGGAAATAGAAAACTAATATGTTAAAGTCTGTGTCATTCTGTAGAATCACTAGTTGAAAAATTGGCAGGAGTTTTGCTGTTAAAATTATCTATTCATAATCAGCAGCATACTGTGAACCAAACCTCGTATTTATTCTTCGGAACGTAGTAAATATTAAGTCTGAAATTTGTTAAACATTATTTTCTAGGTGAGTTTAAATTTTCCCACCGTGCATTAATAACTAAAATGTCGATATTAGTTACATTGAAAAGACTACGAAAGTTGCACAAGTAAACACACACAAAGTTGTTTAGCAATTATGATGAGGAAAATATAGTCTTCAAAGATAGTGAAAATGTATTAGTACTAATCACCAGCGATCTACAAAATATTTCACCCAACAACATATAACTTTACGAAGGTTCTATTGGTACATGTGTAACTAAATATACAAATATTAATGAAAATATATGATGTTCACTCAGAACTCTTTTCCAAAATTGTCTTGGGATAACCCTTATTACATCTCCAGAACTTTCTCTTAACACACGAACAAAATAATATAATAAATTAATATAAATATGTAGACTAGCATATCTGGTTTACCTTTTTTTCACATAATGTCTCTTAGGACCTTTTTCCTCTGAACCTCAAACTGAGAAAAGAGGCAACCTGTAGGAGGCTCATGGAGAAAGAAGTGTCGCTATACTTCACTTCAAACGGAGAAACTTATCTCAGCTGCAAACACTATTAGAGTTCATCACTTTTTTCAATCGGCAGAACCTCTCTTGAGCCTTTGTCAGAATATCGCAAATCCACGAATAATAAGTATAAGCCCCAACCACACAATAATATTTGACACAAACATAATGTAGTTTTTATTAACTAATTTCCTAGAGACGCTTATTTGGGATGAGCCGTCCTTCGTTGGTACAGTGTCCGTTGCTTCCCAAAGGCGGGAACAATCGCCATTGTTAGCAAGTTCCCAAAACTCTATGCTAAACAAACACAGTTCCCTCTATGGTAAAATGAGAATTTGAGTATTAGAGGGAGCGAACTGCTCGGTTTCGATTTTAAACGATAGGAAATAAAGTACGTTTTCGGAAATGCCCTCACCACTGGCGTAGCCTGGTGTTTGTCTAAAAGTATGTAACCCAAAAAATGAGAAAAATATAACTTTTAATTGTCCTCATTTTTTCAGTGCACGAGATCTTACTTTGGGTCTCCTGAGCTTTGTAAATATTCATATTACTTAAATCTGCATAACTATTGAAATTTAACACTTTTTCCGTTTGAGAAGAGACGTTTATCAAAATGGTTTTAAGACCCTTTTCACTGCACATGATTTTTGCTCATAAGTCATAAATTTGGTTATTAAAATGTCTCTGTCATATTTTTAATGTTTATAATGCTGCTGAGAGTAGTTTCTTATTCATTTCTTTAAATATTTTCCTCTTTTGAGAACCTTAAAATCCGAAAAAACATTAGGCGCACCTGGTTTGCGTTATACTCGCCAATCCCTGTCACAGATATACATCGCTTCTCCATTGAACCAGCACAATCCTTAACCTAAATTCGCTACAAACTTATAGCTGATTAATGTATAAAATAAGGTAATAAACGTAAGCAAAACCAGAATGAATATAAATTAATTCTGTTCTCTTTCAAACGCAATGAAGTTTTGTAAAACGACAATTATTTTATTAGTACGCTGGATGTAATGAAACGGTGTACATCTGATTCACACCAAACGATGCGGCATTTCCGAGTGAGTCCTTAAAGCCCCTGAAGAACCGAATCCTCAACGGATCGCTGTTAGAAATTAAATGAAACAAAACGTAATATAAAATATATCAATACGACAATTTATAATTTATTTAAAATAAAATAGGCTGCGACTGTAAGGGTATGTAAAGCTATCACAACATTAATGGACGCTAAGTCCCTTGTCCTCACTTATATTTTGATATCCATCATAGTTTTAGAGTAGAAGTGCAGTTTTTGAAAATAAGAATTGATCACCTGTTAAATTACAAAAAGGGACATTTCAAGACAATTTTTGAAAAATGAACTATGCAAACATTTGGATTTTGATGAAATATTGTAAGCCAATTTCTGCATGTCTCAAAGGTACTTTTGTGAAGGAAGAGCTCTACAATGAAGATATACTTTTAAATATTGCAGTGTGACCCTTGGTGAATACCAATGCATTTTCGCAGTTTTAGGATGCAAAAATTCCTTCTTTGTTGTTGCCTAATAAGAGTAACTACGGCATTTTTTGCTCTAAACAATGGAAATAATATCAGTTTATGTGTTAATGCACGTAAGTAAATTGCAGCAAGCCATCAAAAAACTGCCAGCATCATAAATTGAAATATAATTTTTGAAAAAATGGTTCGATTTAGAATGTTGAATTTACCTATTCATAATCCGTGGTATATGTGTGTGAAGTCTCGTATTTAATACTTGGAACCAATTGAATATTAATTCTGAAATTCGTTTGACCTTAATTTAGTCGGTGAATTTTAATTCACCAACTATGTAGCAATAAAAATCTTCACATTTGTTACTTTGAAATTAGCAAAAAATGGACAAGTAATTTCGGTCTATTGTGTTTAACAATTACAGAAAAGAAAACAAAGTCTTTCAAATTATGAAAATATATATGTACTATACACCAGAGTTGTAGGGGGTCAAATAAATGGCTATATCTCGAAAGGTTTTTCACCTATCAAGTTTAAATTTATTAAGGTTCTTTTGGTACATGAGTACCTAAATATTCAAAAATGTATCGAAATACAAGATGATCGCCTCGAACGTGTCTCGAGATAACCGCTTTGACATCTCCAGAACAACTATACGCTTAACATGTTCACAAAATTAACTTGATCTCAACAATTGTATGAGATAATCTAGGTGTGTAGGGAAATTTATCAAATAACATTTTATTACTCTTCGTTTTCTCTCAAAGTACTTTACAAAACAATAAATGATTTATCAGAGATTACAGCATAAAGGATAAAAAAGAAATAATGTCATTAATACCGAATTATTGTTCGGAGGAATTTACGTTTTTTTTTGCCTTAATAGTATTAAAAATTATTAGGCGGAGTACAAAAGAATTTGACTTGATAATTGAATAAAATTATAGGTATATTTCAAACACACTATAAGTTAACAAAAAAGTTAATTAAATTAAATTTAAAAAAATATCAATGCTTGATATTGTAGATGTATTATTACTACTGACACGGTCTCCTCGGAGACGTGGGTTCGAATTCCACCCCTGCCCAAAGAGTATATTACAGAGACGGCACTCAATGTTAAACAGAAAAGCCTTATTTGCACAACTTCCGGAGCCGCCACATTGTTCTGTATAATTTCTATTGGGTAAACGGAGAGACAATAGCGAAGAAGTAACCGGTAAATTTGAAATAAACCAGCAACGCGGAAACTTTAAAATTTCACTCCCATACTTTCCACGGCTTACTTTTAAAAAAATCACAATAATAATTATAAGGATTTTATGGAAGAAAAGAAGTCAAATTAGGGTAATAAAATCTAGTATTTATTGAGCATATTGATATTATACAATTTTGTAATTTCATTAGTAATAACATTTTTATATTACAGAAGGTAATAATCAGTACACCTGCACAATTGCAACTTTAGTATTTTCTTGTAGATATGCCAAATTAATGTAAATACTTCGGAATACTACATTATTACAAGCATTATGAATGAACAAAATCAACATAATTAAAAAGAAACAAATGAAAATACTACCGCACATTTGCCCAGGTAAAACAAATAGTTATGATAAAAGGGGTGAAAGAGCCATTTTGTTTTGCGCATAGGAAAGGTAGCGCCACTTGGCCAAAAAGTCAGGTGCCCCATTTCTACTAGCAAAATAAGATCACTTTCACCATGCTTTTTTAAGTGGCATTACTGCCTTTCATTGTATTTTAATCCAAGAATACGAATTACATAATTATGTACTGTTACATTAAGATCAGTAGTATCTCATTAGGTCACATGAATGTATTTTGTTTTCTTTGTTGCTTTCAAAGTTTTATCAGAACATTTGAAAATCCCACAATTAGTAGTAGTGCAAAAAATTGTGCTTTTAGCATGCTCTGCATGCCTTGAAAGAACCACTTTTACTAGTTGCAACCTAAAATGTTTTTCGTCAGTCAATAAATATTTGACAAAATTATTTTATTTGCCCATGCTAATCTCACACATGCACAGTTCAGAGCCTGGCTTTTTTAAAATGGGATACGTTGTGAGAATACTTTCACTTTTAAAACAATGATTTACAAATAGTGGAATTCCATCAATGCTTATGCACCACAATTTAATTCTGAAAATGGATTGTCAAAGTGCAAATATTTTCTAGCACCAGGAGCCAAGCTTGGGACCTTCAGATAACTGTGCAGATGTCCTAATAACTGAGCTATGGAATCAAGCATTGTATTCACGACTCATAACAATCCACAATCTAATAAGGATCACCATTCAAAACCAGAATGTAATTGGCATGAGGATGAACAAAACACAATGAGATCACAATCACGATTGTGTTTGTCATGAGCAACTTATATCAATACTAATAAGAAAGAAAAAAATACAGAACAGATAAGCACTAAAGAAATTCTAAAATTGCATGAAAAAAACCCTCTGAAAAAGAAACTCAAAACCTTTGTATTCATAATATTCAAATAAAGTGTCTTAACATAGCAAGAGGCATTTCAAAATTGAGAAAATGATCATGCTTCACAGAATTAATTTTATCTTTAAATTTTATTTATGTCGAACTTTCCAAGTCAGATGTGGGAAATACAGTTTATATAATGGATCTGTACCCAATGACAGAATACACACTGATTTTAAAACTCTCGTTGTTCATACCTTTATAAACTGTCAGCGTAAAAGAAATATGTTCAGAAACTTTGTGCACAATGAAGCAAGTTATTCACTGCATATAACAATAATTCTTTGAAATTATCTCTCTGAGTTCTGACTCCTCAAAATGAACATTAATTTAAAGCCACTTAGGGTCAAACTCGTAGGGCCTAATATGTATGCTTCAGAAGCCATCTCTGGAAGAGGACTGAAAAGCAAAAAATGCCGTTAAGAAAGATACTATGTCCTCAAATGAATGTTCTGAAAACAAATCTGTATAAAAAAGAAAGATGTTTCTTTTTCTTCACCATCTAGAATTACGAAATTTGAAAGCACAGGAATATCTTACACTTACCACACACTGAAGGTGCAGATTCATCTCCCAGAATGGCTTCTTGCACCTGTCAAGAAGTACAAGTATCTGTAATCACCAAAAAAAGAGATTTTATTTACTATAATTTGCCCTCAATTGGCACTAATAACTATATATTGAAAGGAACATACCATAAGAAACGTCCATAAAAACTTGAGGTGACATCTCACATGGGTGAAAAGTTCTGAAAATGGAGACAAACTCGAAATCTATCCCTTCTTCAATAAATGCAACAAAGTAATAATTGAGATTCTTAAAGATTATAGCAAGTATTTACCTTTCACAAGGCTAGAATAAGCATCTGCTGCACTTGCTGTAGCAGCATGTTTAACATCCCTAGAGCCTGTATTAAATAACAACAAATTATTACCAATACATTATGCTTGCAATAGCATGCTTCCTTTTTGCATTTTACAATCATACAAGAGACTTACCATTATCAGTTTAAAAAGCTGCCTGTGTACAAGGATCAGAAAATTAAAAAATGTTTCTCATTTACCTCAAATAAAATGAGAGAAACTCAAATCCCTCTAATAAAATGAGACCACAACGTAAAATAAATTGTGGATTGATTGGAGATGTAGCGCGACAAGATCTAGGGTCATTGGTCCCGTAAGTATAGGGCATGTTTTTCTCAAAGGAGGTAGCCGTTGGCGAGATCGGGTGGGAATCAAATGACTTACAAGTGCAGCATGCACGCGCCCTTGAGCAGGATGTTGGTTGCGCCGGCGTACTGCCTGGCGTCGGCAGCTTCTCGCAGGCGAAGCGGTGCAGGCGGGCGTACGCCGCCCCGGCGCCCGCCCCCGCCAAGGGCCTCCAGGCGGCGGCGACACCGGCCGGGAAGGAAAGGAAAGTGGTTTAACACTCAGGTAAAAAATGGTGATTTGTCAGCGGAAAAGCGTTTGTTGTCGAAGAAAACTACTAGTGTAACCGTGTGAGAACTTTCACATGTTAACCCCCACACTTCCTCTATCCATTTGCTTACCCTATCCATTGAGAAAAAAAATCTTTACAAAACATGCTTATTTGTTAAAAAACTTATCAATTTAACTTTGTACTTACACAATATAAAACCAAAAAAACAATGCAATTAACGTTAGACACAAATTTTCAATAAAGTATTAAAGAGGTACGTTATTCAAACAATTCACACCTTCTAATAGACTTTTAAATTAACTTGAGAGGTTGCTCTTCTCTTACCTTGATAGTCTCAACAATATTAAATACTTTTTTTAATATTAAGAAGAGTACGTAAAGATTTTCATGCGATAATACGAAATTGAGCAAGTTCTACTCCACTCTATTCATATTATTTAATTCTCTTGGATTCGCATAACTGGATAAAGGTGGTTTTGGATAGGCAGTACGTGAATGTCAAGATTGAAAGAAAAGTTTCCATTTTAATCATTGGAGGTTGCCGAGTAATATGCGCTAGTCATTCTATTATACCAATTTTAATTGCATTTCTCAATAATTTCACAGAGTATTCAACAGAGCCCGTTCCTTTTACCTTTTGCATAGGAGTTCATCTACTGCAATCGAAAATATTTACTGCGCAAACGATCGCCATCTGCGGGGACGTACGTAAACACGCCGGCGTTACCCTAGAGTCCAGGGGTTCGACAGTTTTTGCAGGGGATATAAAGCAGCGACGAAGTTACCGAATAATATTACGGGGAAGTTACCCATTGCATAAAAGATCACATACTTCGTCAGAAAAAATACACTGCGCTGAAAATAGCTTCTATGAAGAAAGCTGGTGCGCGGGTGCCCTAAAACTTAGAGAAAGTATTACTAATAAGGGGAGTTAATCTATCAAAAAGAGAACGCCTAAAGGGGTGATGTGTACCTACTGGGCGGGCGTTCGCCAATTGCGCGGGCAAATGCCAACACGCGGGCGTTCGCCTACAGCACAGAGGTGGAGGGGGGCGCGGGATTCCTAAAA